TTGGCTGTGTGGTACATAGTTTTATCATTAACGCATTATATCCGTAAACGTATTATTCTTCACACAGCAATTTGCTCTCAATTTATACACTTCAACCAGCATGGGCACTGTGTCAAAATCCTTCTCATGTCCTCAACAAGTTACTTAGAGTGGCGTGACAGACAGGCATTTTTAGAGAGGGAGACCTTTCAGCTGGGAACTGATGATGCTTAATGTTCCACTGATTATCTCCTCTCACCACATGGTCCTTCAGTGTGTGTGTGTGTGTGTGTGTGTGTGTGTGTGTGTGTGTGTGCACTCTGACGTGTGCTTTCACATATAAGTGCCTGACAAGCTGGTCTTTCCTTTGTCAGCAAGGTTATCTCTGTTTATCCATCATGAGTCAGACGTACATGATGGAGAGCTGATGAAAGAATGGAAACAGTCTGGATCAGTAGATTATTTATGACTGCCTCTGGCCCAGAGTTCTTCCCTGGTGCCAGTGCAAGAAATTTGCTGTGTCTGCAGTGGTCTGAATGCTCATTGCCTTATTGAAATATCAGATAACAGTCCAGAAGGACAGTGAGAGCATAGAGAGGAAGGACAGCGAAAAACCAAAGATGGAGGGAGAAGGAGAACGAAGGAGGACAAAGAAACATTAGTTCATTGGGGAACATCGACAGATGCATGGGATGAGAAGCAGATAAGAAAGTGAACTGCATATAAAATCAGTGTAGTAATAAGACAAAATGAAAACAGCAGGGAATGAAAGAAAAAGAAAGGGGTGGACATTTTAAAATGTAAGGAAATGTAATGCTGTACCTTTTGTTTTATTCAGAGCAATATTCCTCTAGTGCAATAACCCCTGCTGTGCTCACATGAAACAGAACTTTGGTGTTTTATTACATAAGGTCTGGTAGATCTGGGAGGTCTTGAAGGAGATCAGCAGCATACTAATCAGTCGTTGACGGTGGAGGGGACAGCCTATACAGCTCTTTGGATTCACCCACAATGGATGAGGCTACTACACATACTTTTCAATTCAATCCAGTTTTTCAATGTCAGACATATTCTATTTGCTGCATACTAAATAATGTATGTTACAAAATAGACTGCCCATAGTATAGAATGACTGTTCTTTAAACATCTGCACCAGACTTGTGCAATAATTTGATGAAATTATATTAAAAATACACAATAAATGAATAAGAAAATGTAATACTAACATTTCAATGTATGCTAGCTGCATTTAACAGCAGGCAAAACCAAGCCATACAACGACAGTGTTACTGATTGTCATTTACCTAGTTGTTGTTCAGATTGTTAAATTGATTTTTAAGCTAATTATCAGTCAATGAATGTTGAAGTACAGGGTCAGCCTTAGTTATTGATGGCTGATAAGAAGAATTTCAAATTCCTATTTTACAATGCTTTACAACAGCATCCAATAACATTGTGTTGATTCTTCTTGCATCAACAATGTTCCAGCCATGGTCACTCCAAACAGCCATTCAGTATGATAAAACAAGGTCACATTGTAAACTCTAAAGAGGGCATTATGGACAATGTTATACAGTACATCTGATATACATTTTCTGTTATCTCCAGGTTATGTCCCATAACATTTCAGAAAGTAGGCAATTGTTTATTTACTTAAACCTGCAATAACTGACGTGGTAGCAAACAGTTACAGTTACTTATTTACACATGCAGTAGTTACACAGCAAATCTGGAGTCGTGTTTCTGGCCACCTGGCAAATGGAAGACCAATTTTCACAATCCTTAAGCTCTGTTTTTGGTCTCCCCCTACCCCTGAGGGAAACATTTGGCTCTTTAGCTGCTAAATGCTTTACTATGTTCACCAGCTAGTCGCTGCCTGTGCCTGTCTGCCATTTGGTGCTGTGCCAGGTAATTTAAAGTGGGTTCTTAGAGCTTTATCGCTAAAAACAACTGCCAAAAATGATGCTATGAGAGCAGTGAGATTTAATCAAAACACTAAAGTTGCTGGATTGACGGCTAAACAATGAACTGAAACTCATAAAGTTTTGTAAAGCCGGGGGGAGCAGTAGATTTGGGTGATAATTCTGTGCAGGGTCATCACTACAAACAACCCCTTTAACATTGTTGCATTGTTTTCACATTGTCATTTGATTTATTTATTTTAAAAATATCAAAGTAGAAGTAGTATTGCAATGTTCTGTGCCGTTCCCAAGCCCTGTCACAACATTAAGAAAATGCCCACGTAATTTAAATCTGGGTTCATTCTTTGTTTCTCTGGAAGCAGTGTGTCATACATAAGCTTATCTGTGGTATGCAGTTATGGCACATGGCCATTATTTTGTTGGGAAAGCATTTCCTATGATGCCTCTATAACCAAGTTCCTTTACCATGTCTAAATATGGTGTGTGGGGAAACAAGTCATCTTTCTTTCTCATAAACAACCGTTATAGCGGAAACTTCCGCTGAGAGTTCTACACAAAAGTCAGTAAAAGCTTCCCACACAAACAGATGAACTCGATGTAGTATGATTTTTTCTTGTCACTTTGTATGTGTGCATGTTAGTTTGTTGTCTAACTTTAAATAACAAAGCAGAGATGTAGTGGAGCTATCTGTTTAGACAAGTATGGCTGACTTACTGATAGGGTTTCACATGAATAGGACAAAAGCTAAACCTGCAATTTCTTCAGACTGCTGCACTTCAAGCTGCATCTTGGGCTGCCACCTCCATCAATATTTCATTATATCTGTGTCTTTGTGAATGGTTATAAAACTATACCAACAACATGTGACTTGATGACATGTGAAACTTCCCATGTTACAAATCTACACGCACGTGTGGGTTTCTGACATTTTCATGAGAGAAATTCACATGATGTACACATGCGTGGTTTTTGGACCTTTCATAAAAATACCCACAATTGCAGCAAACAACGAGAAAATGCATGATCATTACACTGCAGCAACAAAACATATCAGATTAACCTAACGAGTAAGAAAGGAAGAGTTGCTGGGAGAAGCAGAAAAGACGTGCAGTGAATTGAGAAAGAGGATGATAAAAGTAGGCAAGCAGGCTGTTGAATTCAGTCTGACTCCTGCCACACCTGATTTGTACCCATTTGTGAGTTAGTGAATGTAAGTGTATGTGTTTACAAATGTGTCATGGAACATAGGAGAATGCTGGTTTTAACAAGAGGTTTGGGGGAAAGTAACATGATGGGTGATTTAGAGTTTTAAGAGGAAGAATTCAAACAGCTGTGGTTAAACGAAATGAGGAAACCATCTTGGTTGGCTTTGTGAGTAGACACTAGACAAAACAACAAGGTGAATTTTCCAAAGTTGTAAAAGATCATTTTGCCAATTAATTATTCAGGTCCGGAGCTCACTGAGACGAGGTGATGGCTTTACCCTATACTGTTGCCCTGTTGGCTGCCAAGTCAGGATTAATCTCATGGCACAGCATTTCTCTGAATGCCTCACATGAATTATTTAAACTGAAATCATGAAACTTATTTGTGTGCATCAACCTGGCCACATTATTAGAGCCAAAGGGGAAACTTTTGGATGAGGTGGGAGAAGACACGCAGGTGAGATGAAAATGGGTCTGCGGTTTCAGTCTCATAATGTCAGACGCCCAAGGGAGAGAACAATCACAACGTCATCATCACATGCACACAACAGTTATATAAGCAGCTGTTGTTACACAGCATGACACTGTTTCCAGATTACCACCACTTGGTTTTATTACACAGGCAAGCATACAAGAGATCTTAGGTGTTGTTGGATACACACTCGTGGCAAAAGTGTTGATACATTGGTTGTTGTTTACAGCACGTGTCTTATAAAAAGAGAAACGTGCCACGCTGCAGTCAAATCAAACTGTGCATATCGTAATTTCCTGCTTCAGCACATACTGACACTGGATGTTTTTAATCTTATCTTAATTCAAGGCATTATGGGATTTTCCACTTCAAGCAGGCTGCTGAGTAGCTCTAATCACAGAATTAAATTGGAATCTCACAGCAAGCTTTTATTGACTGGCCATATGGATTCACACTGACTGGTTGCTGAAATGCTGAATGCAGAGACGCTACAAACTGTCAGGATGCCTTCAACACAACCATAAGTAAGCAATGTTGAACTCAACTTCCTCTGACTGTGGGCCAACACCGCTCAGTCATCACTGCCTTAGGTTTACATCGAGATTAAGCAGGATCATGTTCCTAATCTGAAGCAGAAGCAACCCAATACACAACATGTACAATTTACACATGCTACACATGCACAGACAAACCTTTAAATGCAGCACCCTTAGTTAATTCTGTTAGCCTTACAACTAAAAAGCCTCCAATATCAGACTTTACTTTCGATCATTTAATTCTGTTAATGAAAGAGTCAGAGGCTTTGTTGATGGACTCTAGAGACTGTGGCTTTATTTAAATGCATGTTTTTTTTAGTTATTTATTTCTTCAATAAGAATGAATTACTATTTACTATGTCTACAGTTAAATAGTTTGGTTACACCTGGGATGTAACCAAACAGTGAAAAAGGTCAAGCATACTATGTAATCACTAGCTTTTTATATGTTCTTTTATGTTCTGCTTTTAGCTCAGCTCTCCAGCTTTTCTTCCTGCTTCAGGCTCCCACCCCTCCCTATCACGAACAGAAGGGGGGCATGGTGTCAGACTGCAATCGATTCAAGGACATGTCCGCAGCCATGTCTGCAATGGCGATAGCTACAACCCACTGCAGTGTGCAGCTTTATGAATGGGGACCAGATGCAGCCCTTGGGGACACACACAGACAGCTCTGCAGTCACAAACTGCACATATATCACAGTAATATCTATCTTTATAATATAATAACACATGTGTTTAACAGTTTAACAGATGTGATTTTGAAATTATAGGTCTGATTACACTATTATGTAGAATGTTCACATAATAAGCAGAGCGAAATTAAATAAAGACTATGGTACAGAAATTACATTGGATGAATTTGATCATTAAGAAGTGGCACAGTATTTGGTTTCCATCACAAATGCCTTTATTAACCATTGTTTTAACAAAATATAGGTTACATTAAAAACGTAACATAAAAATAAAGGTATGTTACTGCTGTACATGCAGACATGGTTAACATTCACTGCAAAAAGAGAATAAAATAGACAGCACACAGTACAAATTAACATATTACACACATTAAGTTGACTGCAGATGTTACAACACAAAGAGGGTTGCATAGGATTTGCAAAGCCAAAAAGAAACCTCACTGAAATGTATTCAGTGGCATACAATGGTTATTAATAAGACAGAAGTGAATTAGGCTGTCCACAGTGAGAGAAAAGAGATATAAAATATGACAAAGAATGGAAAACATCTTGGTTAGTAGCTATTCACAGGAAAAGCTTTCATACATATATTGTGACCTGCAATCCTGGCCCTTTCCTTCTTTTCACTCAAAGTGCATTAGGCCTGCTTTGACTAATTCTGCTACAATCATAAGTCGCTCATGATAAAAGTTATCAAACACCAAAGTGCATCTCACCTTCACTATCTTGCCAAGGCACATATGCCTTTGTCATTGTCTTGCATCCACATCTTCTCATCCTTCTACTATCACCTTACTTCTTAACAAACAAGCACTTGCATCTTTCCAGCTTTGCTTCACGTCAAGTAAACTCATATTTTAGTAAGGCAGTGTACACCTGTAGCTGTGCACATGTATTCATTTCATTCAGATACACTGCTCACATGTTGATACATATTTCATATTTCAGGGAAAATTCTGCAACATCTCACGGATGTATAAAACATTTAGTGGTAATACCAATTTAACAAGCAGCCTTATTTTAAATTATGTTTAAATTTTTGACCATTAAATTTAATAGTAAGTGTGCTTTAGGATTTCAGTAGGTTTGGGCTCATATTCTATCTTCCAACTTCCCAGGATCATCAGATAACAAACCTTCAGCATTTGCATCTCTAAATTCTGCTTTTAAGATGCTTCAAAATACACATGACATATAACAGTAATAGGAAGACATTCAATATGAAACATTAACACATTTGCATACACATCTACAGTATATATTAGTGAGTTTTGATGCAAAAAGTTATGTATACACCGAGGTGAAAATCTAATTGACCAGAAGCCCTTCATTTCCTTTATGGTAGGGATGCACCAATAACAAGAGAAGTGTGGAAGATACCAGACTAAAACTGAGCACTGGTATCTTACAGTTTTTTGGAAACTTAAACCAAAGAGTCACATGTAATGAAACATGGAAAAAGCATCATATTCAGACGGTCATTTGCGTCACGCAATCCCAAACTGGACATTGTTGACTAAAGAGAGAAAATCTTGTACCGACTTTGTCTCAGCCAAATGTTAAAATCTAAAAAAGCACAATCTGTGTTGGCAGTGACTGATTGGTATTGATGCATCTCTCTGTATCCACATCAGTAGTCTCAGTCTGAATAACAAATACTTTCTGGTATTGCACAGCATGAAGGCTTGAACAAAGCTTACACAGACCAAAGCAGACAATATGCTACTTATTTAACAACATAACACACAGTAAGCTCTACAGTGGCCAGACCTTTTTTATATCCACAGTGTAAATAAACCAGTGAGAGAAATAAAGCTCTGTACATGATAAAGCTACATGTAGTCAAAGCAAATATCAGGTCAGTGCTAGCCATCTCTCACTTCATCAAAACTATTCTAACAACATCAGGTACAGCATTTAAGTTCCAACACAAACCATGTCAGATTTAGAGACAAGCATTTCTGATGGATTCACAGTGGAGCTGCTCCAAAACCTAAGTGGTTACAGGAATAGTCTTTATCCACATCCCAACCTGATGGCCTCATTAAATGGAGAGCTTCCCTCTGAGGCCATGATGATGTAAACAAAGGACAAAGTGATGTTCAGATTACAGCCAGAGCACTGGAATTAAAAGCACCCTGTCTGTTGTTCCTCTGCTTGATGAACAACTTTCTACATGCTACAAAAACTTTGACAATATGACACAACTAAAAAAGCCTGATGGATATTTCCATTCAAGTAAACTCACTTGTCTACAACATGCAAGTTTGTTTGCCGTTAAGACTGAGTACATGATCACGACGATGGAAGCATGGTCGGAAGACTACTTGCCAATGAGTTCATAAAAAACAAATGGACGTAACATTAACTGTTGTAGAGGGAAGGCTGGTTGTATAAATGTATAGAAATGAAGTAATCAGACAACAGTTCGCCATCTAAGGATGTAAATGTCAGCCAATCAGGTGGTTCAAACTACTTTGGTCATGTGTGGTGTAAGGAGCAGCACTATTCTTGCACAGTGGTGACTGAGGATAGAAGCCAGTTAAACACAGTGGTTCGTGTGATAGCTACCATGTCTACAGACAACACTGATCTATAAAAAGTTACACAGTGCAGTCAGGAATGTTAGAAATGAAGAAGCATTGTGTTTTGGAATCTCTAAATGTACAATAATACGTTTCTGTGTTTGTTAGAAAATAATTACTGTGAAAATAAAATCTGTCTTACAATGATAAACCTGAAGAAGAAGTGTCCAAAGGTAATCTGAGGTAAATTTAACCTTGCAAACAGCTACTTGATTTATTTCCCTGGTGGGGGGGGACCACGTTCAAGGGGTTGATTCACCAAAAAAACCTTCCTATCACAGTGTGAGAGTGTCGAAGCCCATTCTTTATAAATATAGCCTTTATGATTTGATGGAATATGCATGGTGCCATTATTATTTAGGGACTAGAGAAAACGTTTTTGAGTTCATTGTCTTTGGACTATGGTGAGGCCTCCTTGATTTATGAATGTTTACATGAATGCAGCACAATGAGTGTTAAATAGTTGCAAATATATAACTGAAAGGCAGGTTTATGATTAAGTATGGTGTCCCTGGATTGGAAGCCCACAGGTATATGAGCACTAATTCTCAGTGTCTGCAGGCTTTATTTTAAAATGCAAGTGTAATGAAGATAACTATGTGCATTAGTCTATCAAAGCCTAATGAAAATAGTCCACTGTACAACATTCAGTGCACAATTTCCCACATCACGGCTTAAAATAAGGCAATTTCACTGGCATGAGGAAATTAGTAGGAAATAATGCACTGAATTTTTTGAATGAAATGGCCACATTTCTGTCTGTCGTCTCAGTAAGACGTATGTGTGTCTGTGTTTCCCCAAGGGGACCACCAGAGGAGTATGCTACCAGGCCTATAGGTTCGCTCGGCATCCATGCCAGCCAAAATGTGATGCTTTCTGCTTCCTATTAAGCCAGCGTTTTTGCACAAACTGAGGATTATTCATGCAATCAAATATCAGCATCTCCTGAAGGGAACAGTGATGCCTGAAGTCGGCATTGCCCGGCACGTTTTCCGTGGCACGTGTTTCTACATTACATAACGTGATCATGCCCTCCCAAAGGGTACCAAGCTGTACAGAGCCCTGACATCAAGGCTATTTATCTAACAGCATCCCACATCGGGCACCTATCAAATGCTCATACAGCAGTCTCCAACACTCCGTCTGTTACCAAATATTTGAATTATTGTGAGGAATTGTTTCAGTGTCAGAGCACGTGTGTAGCTGACAATGGCAGAAAAAAAACATCATTAACAGGCTACAGTCATAATTAAGGTACCCGGGGATCGGTTACGCGCAAATTACGCACGCAGTGTGCCTCTGCAGACGACAAAGCTCAGATAAAGTGAATCCATCCATTCTCCCATTCCCGCGGCGGGGACATCTTGAACCGGTGACGCCGCACTTTGTAGTTGTTCCCATTATTATTGTCCCAGAACTCGTGCCCGCCGACACAGTATTTAATTGCAAACTGAAATGTTCCTCCGTTGTCGAGGTAGGTGGGCATGACGATCTTGAAGCGGAACTGATCAGTGACGCCGTCGCTTGAGCTGGGAACGTAGGACGCCAAACTGTCCATAAATGTTATCCAGTTGTTTAGAGAATACCGCAAAGAGACGCTCTTTTCGAAAGCCAGATTCAAAACGCGCACAAACCCGGAGAGGCTGAATTCGTCCGCCTCGACGCTCTCCAACATGACTTTCACCTCCCGCACTTTCTGTTCAAAGCCGGGTAGTGTGCCTGGGTTGGTGAACTGCAATTCCATGAACACAGACTGTGTAGGAGCCCGGGGGAATTTGGTTTCTAAATGATTATGGTGGAGGGGTCCTTTGTGCAGTTTTGCCAGTATGCGCTCCGGCACCTCTGGCTCATCAGTGTCATCGAAGTGCTTCACTGAAATGAGCTCCAGGCCCAGTGAGTCGGCGAACCGGACCTTTTTCTGACTGGTTGGACTTCTGCTGCGGGAGATTTCTAACTTTGCTCTCTCTGTGGGTGTGGGCAGCGACTTGCACCTCCGACGCAGATTTGGACTCTGTGGAGGCTTCAGGAAGATCTCTCTGCCCCGCGGTCTCTCGTCCACCACGGGGCTTTCGATGGGCTCACAAGTGCCGTTCATTCTGTCAAAATCTTCCCCATCTTCAAGCCGCGGGTTCGCCGCTGCCAGGCTTCCGAACAGCCCAGCTATGCAGCTGTAGTTCCTTGGCAGGCAGTTCTTTGGGGGCAGCATGACCACGACAGGATGCGAAGACTCCGCTTCCATAAAACGCAACAGACCCCGCACTGCAGAGCCGAAAGTGGTCGTGATGGCAAAGACCGGCGTGTCGGGTGATGGAGCCGTCAGGTGTCAGTGTCCCTCCTCGCGGATAGGTGCTCCGGCTGCGTCAGAAGCCGACACTCTTGCAGCTCTGAACCAATAAACCAAGCGGTGGACGTGCGCCAGCAAAGTGCGAGTTTGGTCCTGCAGATTGGTCACTTTGAATGTGGGTGCGTGGAGAATATAGGCCTACCCCACAGTCTGCTCATCGCAAAAAGAATAAAAAAGAGAGCACCTTCCTCTGCGCAGCGACCATCGCTCGTGTCCATTTTTCATGTGGTGAAACATGCAGCGTCCTGTCACAGCTGATTTATGAACCTGCGTGGAGCGCAGTGTTTGACGTGTACGTGCAGAACTGAACGTCGCAACTAACCAAAATGGTTTCCTCCCTCACAAGTGTAAACCACTTAACTTCCTCTTATTCCCCCCCCCCTCCACATTGTGACATTGTTATAATGAGCCCCATAGTGTACAGAAAACACATTTATTTTAAACATTTCAATTGAATTTGAGGCATTTTCTTTGACAAGACAGCCTTATTTATACCGACCGTTTCTGATCATATTCTACAGCTATGAACATGTGCATCACCAGATTACCAATGGGGGGGGTATCTAGGGAGGGGGTGGGTGGGTGTTCCCGTGTAATTAAAGACTTATTGCATAACAGAGATGTAATAATTAATATGGAGCAGCCCCAGTTGTAGCTGTAGCGCACGCAGCTCCCTCCCCCTTTCCTCTACGTCACAGCTTCCCGGTGCAGCCTTTACGGGTTGCTATGACGACGGCGTTGCAGCTCGTCTCTAAAGGCATTCACGGCTTCTGCTTGTTCTGTTTGGGAAAACTCCTGTCGACCACAACAGAGAAAGTAACCACGGTAGGCGGCAGCAGTTTCTGTGAATGGTGCTTCCTGATATGGGGACAGTGATACAAACCCCGTTTAAAATGCTGCAGGGATTCAGAGGGCTTCCCTTTGGTGAATCGACTCTGAGTTCATAGTTAACGTTATCTAACGCTTAGCTAAACAAACATGTTTGTGTGGCTCAAAGAACTCGGCAATGTTAGATAGGTAGCTCTAATTTGGTATTTTTTGAAATCCTTTTTTTTTTAGATATCACCATGAAGTACATGTGTTAACTAATGGCGACTTTAAAAGAAGTGGGTCTCACAGCTGTGAATGGACCAGACAAGGAGCTTCGCACACAGGAGGACGCAGTTAGGGAGCAGCCTTACAAGACAGCAGAGAGGAGACATGTTGATGCCCTTCTAGATATTAGTGAGGAGGACTTCTTCAAAGAGCTGGAGCCACATGAGTATCACTGTTACTCTGGTTGCGAAGAAGTTGTAAGTGAATGAATATCTTCTTACTGCAAACCTTTTTTCACTGCCTTTGTACCTTTATCTGATTTGGTTAATATACCTTTACAGGATTTAGGTGGTGTCCTCTGTCATTGTCTGGACTCAGTAGCAACATTTAGGCTTAGTTTTAATCTATATTTTCAAATAGGAAAACAAGTGAATAAAATATCTATGCTTTAATTTATGTTTACTTATATTCCCACCTGTTGATATAACCCTTATCCAATTCAAATCAGCTTTATTGGCATGAATGTAAAAAAACAATATTGCCAAAGCTACAAATAAATTACACGAGAACAATTTCATACATTTCATTAAATAAGTAAATAAAACAGTAAAAGTTGTTTGTGTGTGTTAAAAAAGTTGAATAATAATAATAATTTTAAAAAAATGAATGAAAGTTAGAAAATGAAAATAATATCTTATCTACTGTATGTACATAGTATTGTTTCTGATATTGATACCAATATTATTTCTACTACATTACTTTTTATTTTGACTTAACACAATCATTATTTTAATGTGTTTTCAGTTTAAACATGTTAAAACTGCTAATTGTTTTCATATTTAACAATATATTTAATTTTAAAACAGGTCCGGGGTTGGGCCAGAGTCGCTCCACTGAGCTGCATACTTTTGACTCAGAAGAGATACAAGAAACCAAAGCATAAAGAGGCTGACAGCGCGATCACTCTGTCCCCTGACCCAACAATCCCTAATGCAGACAACTCAGCCAGCATTGCAGAGCACCACTGTGAGTCTCGTGTGGGAGCAAATAAGAGCTTTAAGAAATCCACGCCGTCAAACCAGCACGAAGGAACCTGGAGTAACACTACTGTGGCAGCTCTGCACAAAGCTGCCTCGGAATGGCCTGTCCTCAATGCAATGCAGAAAACCACTTCAAAACTCTCACTGGAAGAAAAGATAGAGGAGGAAGGGATGCTCAGAGAGACTTCTTTGCAGAACAGGCCCACTAAGCCTCAGAAACACGGCCATAGGCCCAATAATGCCGTGGTTCCCATTAAAAACTTCACGTTCTTACCACCAATTAAATCACCACACCTGAATCCTCAGAGAGTCGCTGGCCAGCTCTGCAGTAGCAAGAAGGCTCCAGAAGAAGAAACCATAGAAGACAACAGTTTCATGTTTGATAAGAAGAGTGGGATGAAGGGAACGAGAGTGGACCCTGTTGTTAACCTAGAGCTTCCCACTTCCACTGCAGGCCTCACCTCCAGGTATCGGACATGTCAGCATAACCCCCACTTGTTCTCTGCTGTAAGTGTTTCTATCCCCAAGAGGTATCAGGTGCCTCTGTCTTCCAAACCTGACATAGTGCACCACACTAGCTTCTCAATGGGCAAGAGCCTCACACAGGCCCTCCATTCCGGCAATGCAGCAGGTGCACAAGCCCGTATGCACCCCAGCAAGACTGTGTGTGCTGTCAAGATGTATGAAGGCTGTGAAATAAATGTTTAACATGACTGACGATGATGATGTATGCAGTAATTTCAAACTCTTTGGTTCAACCGGGGAAAAACAACCAGCTTTTATCTTGTATAATCAAATATTTCCATCAAAATAGTTAGTTGGAAGAATACATTCAAGGTATGAAACATCTTTATAAAACTAACTAATTGCAGAGGTTGTTTAGTTGAGTCTGGCCTTACATTTCACACCATACTAACCATTATAGTAACAGTCAGGAGAACAGAGCATGGAAACGTTAAGCTCTTTATGTCATTTGGGCCTTTATTTCATTCTGACCAGTTCCCACAAGTGCTTTTTCAGCTGTTCTAGTTACCTAGCAACGGTGCAATTACCACATAAGAGGCATGGGAGTGCGCCTGCCTCACACTATCGACTAAAACTTCACCCACAAGCTACAGCTTTGTCAGAATTTAAGTGTTGTACTGTTACACGTGACTACACTGATGTGATATACACAGTTGCCAAAACTACTGCATGTTCTCTGTCAAATTTACATTATATTTATATAACTTCAGTTTTCCATCAGTCAGGAGGTGATTCCTAATGAATGTGGATGGGATCTGGGTTATGTAATGTAAAATGGTTATCAGTGCAGCGTTATGCTCAGATCTCTAAACATCCTGTTGGTCCCCAAAGGCCAGCCAATTACTGCAGCTGGGAACAACTGGGATGATCTTGTTACGCTACTTTATTATACAACCTCTTTACGGTTTAGCTGCCCTGTAAAATAAAAAATAATCCACTTAGTGAGATTATTCTATAGTCAAAAGAGCTGCGGTGTTAACCTATTAAGACAAAACTTAAAATAAAATGGATACTTCAAACCAATCTGAGCTGCTATATCCAGCACAAGCAAGAAATCAGTATGTCTGTATTCATTAAGTTGTGACCGCATCAAAGTGACAAGATGAAAGACACAGTATCATAGTTTTATGTTCTATGTTAAAAAGTTTTAAAAATAGTCAGCATACCCAAATCGATCAGATTGCTTTTTATTTCACTCTCAGTTTGTAAGTTTAGCACAGAGGAACAAAATGCATTCCACACTGAAATATCTTATAACACTATGTTGAACTGATTTGGGCGTGTGGACACTGATACATGAACTCAAACTAAATGGTCTTTTTTTATATTGGTTGAGTGTGATCAGTGTTTTTTTTGTTGTTGTATGAAAAATGACAAGGAACAAAGTATACACTTCCCCAGCAGTTTATTAAGAACATAGTGTAGCTTCAACAATTAATCAAGGCAACCATTAAATCTACACATATAGGCAACTGAAACTCATATTGTGCTAAAACAAATATTTTTGTGCTGGGAAAATATCTGCATGCAATCCCAGCAGAGATAAAATAAAGCACTGTAACTGACACTTGAGACTGACCAGGCTTCTACACATAGTTCTGTTTAAAGCAAGGCATTTCCTAGCAGAGAGCAGCTATGCTGCATTTGAATTCAAGAACCACAAACTAGAAGCACTATCTCAATACAAGAAATGTTGAAATTGAATGGGTGTCAAAATCCTTAGTAACTCAGGGAAATTATCCTTAAACTGTTTGGATGTGGTGCAAAAAAATAGAGCATGTTTAACTTGGGCACAGTGTCATGTTCTGTACATTCGTCAGTTTCTACAAACATCTATAAACTGTAACTGCATTAACCAATCTGTCCATAAAAAATAGTGAAATGGCATCAAACAAATTCTCTTCAATAAAATGCTGCATAGCATTATTTTCATGTGACAGAACATGGAGCTTTCCATAGAAACTATGAAGAAGAATTAGGGACATTCCAATAGTTCATGCAACCATTGATGGAAATACAAATACAGGATGGATTAAACATGCAAAGCAAAGACCGATAGGATTCTGACCATTTTTCAGTGTTTTCTAGTATAATTCTGTTAATCGTTTCAAAGCAGCAAATTGTCACAGAACTAAAGCTAATACTTGGGTTAAGGCACCAAAATTAACAAATAATCAAGGCCTATAGCTCTAGGTTCCTTAGTAGAACATAGCCTGCATGTGGTGCCTGTGCTGAATGAAGAAAAGAAGTGCAACAGAATAATGAAAAACATAATCAAAACATTACGCTTATGATTAGCGACTAATGCTTAGAGAAAATAAAGAACAAAAAATAAATTAAAATACTGTGTCGGATTGTTAGGGGTGGAAAATCTGATGCTGTTAACCGAAGATATTAAACAGGACTCCTTTCAGTCGAAATCAGGTTGTGAATACATACAATTACTCTATGCTATTCCTTGCTCTAATCCACTATGTGTTTATGTACAGTAACATTACTGGATCACTTCAGCACTGAGTACTGCTACTGTCTACACTTACACCCAGCTAATGAATAAGTCAAAGAGTATGACAGCCTAGTCTGCTTACTGACTTGAACTGACTGCTTAGCTATAGAGGCCTAGACACAAAAATAAGTGTTTACACAACATCATACTTCACTATCACATTTCAATGAAAAGTGTGCAACAACTGACGAGACTTAAACATTTCATTTTTACTTGTGCCACATCTGTATGAGTAACGGTATGTTTCAGAGCTGCATCTTAACAGTGTTGAGAAATGCCTTGTTCATTGTTGAAGGCTTTATGTGGTTTTATTTTGGAAAACATAAAGCTGACAGTTCTCAATGGAGAAGTTTTCCACTGGCTGCAAAGCTCGCAGGATGTAACTCAGAGTTTATAGTCTTGCTGCCGCTGACAAGGCAACATCAATGAGGCAGCCATCGGATGCACAAGCTGAGAATAGATATTTTATGCTTTTGTGCCACCGACCAAGTGAAGGCTTCATGCACATTACCAAACATACGTATCCTTAACACACTATGTTGTTTGCTGTACAGCTGAGATGAAATTGTTTTAATGCAGTATATGCATATCTGACAACTTTATAAGCCTTTTCTTGACAGCCACGCACAGCTAAAGATGTCATCTCTTTTAAGTGCAGATCTAACGTTAATGAAATGTTGAGTCATTTTTAAACTGCTAGTAAACAGTGAAAACCAGTCACAGTGGTTACACACTGAAATAAAGAAGTAAACTGGCATTTCAGACAGGACACTTACAATATGTTACTTTATGTGCAAATAAATATGTAAACTGTCACAGGAGCTGATAAATCATGCCCATTGAGCTAATAAAGTGCAGCGGAGCTGTCAGGATATACACCTGGAAAGGCTCTGGACACAATGTCTCCAGTGGAATGTTCAAAGACGTTTGCGCAGACTTCTTACTGCTAAGACTGTGGTCCGCTGGAGAACAGCATAGACTGATTCCTCTCATAGGAAGAGGCAGACATGAGAAACCTGTACTGCCAAAGCTTAGGCAGCTTCACTAAGAGGGTTTCAGCTGTTGGGTTTCTCAGGGTGCTGAAAGAGAGCGCAAAGCTCCTCACATGTCTGGGTTTCCACAGAGCTGAAATGGGACTCCATATTCCACGCCAGGTCTGCTGACAAGAAGTCATCCATGACAGTTTGTGTTTCGTTGCTCGTCAGGAAGAGGTGTCCCAGGCCTTCAGCCTGGCTGGTCACAGTCTGTGTCTCCGTGCTGTTCAGAAGCCTTGAATGTTCACCCTGACTGACAGGGGTCTGGGCAGAGAGTCCCGTTGCAAATGAAGGAAGATCAGTCTGTGTTTCTGTATCTGAGGACTCAGTGCTCATAGAAAAGCTTGAATGTCGTAGGATGCTGCTCAGGGGCATGTGGCTGCCAGCACTCAGCAGGAAATTGAGGTCAGTCTGAGTTTGAGTATCAAATAGCTCCAGGTCGCTGGCTTGGGTTCGACTTGGTCCCTCACTTTGGTCCATTTCATCCATCAGGAGGAAGTCTGTCTGGGTCTGGATGTCCAGAGACTCCAGCGGCGTTTCACCACCCAGTCCTCCCAGCTCACTCTCCTCTGTCTGTGTCTGGATGTGCACAGCATTCAGAAACTCTTCAAAGTCAAAGTCAATGCCATTGTGTTGCTCCTGAACAGAGCCCAGACCTGACCCACAGCCTGCAGAGGCCTCTGTGAGCACCTGGTGGCCCGACATGCTGTCAGACAGAATATTTTCCAGGTCATTTAACAAGGTCATTGTTTGGGTCTGGTTGTCTGCCATGTTGTTTGAGTTAAGCTCATCTGTCTGAACCCCAAAACACATGGCACCTGCTGACTTTGAGTCCTCATATATGCTGCTTCCTGCAGCAGTGAGAGTGTCATCTATGTCCAGAACTGTCTGGGTGGAGACACTGAGGGATTCGCCATCAAACAGGTCAGAGCACATGATTGCTTGGTCCTGAGCCTTCTCCTCTGATTGTGGTATGGCAAAGTATGTCTGTGTCTGCCTGGTTTTGTATGGGGGCACAGATGAGGAGGAGCAGGGAATTTGGCTCGTGCACTGGCTGTCTGTCTGAGCTCCAATAGTGGATGTGGCTTTGGCCCGGTAAGAGAAAGTCTGGGTTTCAACACTGACTGGCAGGAGGACTTGGGCACTCACGCTGATATCTGTTTGGGAGCAGGATGACACTGAGGACTCACCCACAGAGCACAAGCCTATTCCCTCTCCAACCCCCACTCCTGTGGGCATTTTTGACAAGTACGATTTATCCGTCTGAATGGTGGTGGAGGTGCTTCTTCCCCGCTGTCCTGCCAGGCAGCAAGCTGAGTCCTCTGTGCCTGCGGGGTCCAGACTGACCTGCACCCCTGTGCTAATGGGCCCCAGGCTAGAGCGGGATGTAGGCATGCTATCCTTGAAACCCAAACTCTTAGCATCAAGTTGGGGTACCACAGCTCCCGTGGCTTGTGGCAGGAGGTGAAGGGTACTGACAGAGCCTTGGCTGTCTACTGCCAGGACTACAGACCTCAGAGCCCCACTTTCTGTAGATGGAAGAAGAACAGGGAGGTGGGCCAGCTGCATGACAGGAACACTGACCAAAGCCATCTTGGGCTTTGGTAGGAGCAACTTCTGGAGGCTCTTACGGGGGACAGAGTTCTGA